ACGAAAACGATGGAGAGAAACTGTGAGGACGGAACAGGTAGCCTAATCCACGAAGTGAAGAAGAAGAATATATTTCAATATTTGAATTTTGAGCTGCTCCCTAAAATTGTATTCCATATGTCCAGACTAGGTTTAGTAATGCTTTATACAGAAGAATTTTGTTTGCGATGCTTAAGGATGAGTTTTTCCTAATAGACAGTTTAATCTGATAATTTTGAGTCTTCTGTCCAGTGTAATTCCAATATATTTTGCTGAGTCTTATCGAGGAATAGGTTGTGATACGATTTTTATTGGAGGGCATGTTTCGTGCTTCAGACGGAAGGTAACGTGGGCAGACTTTTGTCATTTGTCTTGAGGCGCCAGCGTTTCTGCTACTTGTGAATGGATTGCAGATGTTCTTCTACGAGACGTGATGCTTCTGCTGGATCTTTATGTCGAGCTAAGATGGCTGTGTCGTCCGCGTAGGTTGTTGTCAATGCGTTTTCTGATGTTGGAATGTCGGCAGTGTATAATGAGTACAGGAAAGATGCAAGCACACTTCCTTGAGGCACCCCCGAATTTATAGGGACAGGTTCTGAAGTTACACCGTTAAATTTTATTTGAAAATATCTCTCCGTGAGGTACTATTTTAATACGAGATAGTAAGGATATGGTGAAGCGGATCGACATGTGTTAGATGAATTTTATCTTTCATTATTATATGACATGTTCATAGAATCAGCTAACTGATTTTTTCAATTGTGAAAAGTATGTTCGGACGTAAGCTGTATGAATGTTCCGTTATCGATTCTCGGAAGTTGATTTTGAGGGCTTTGAAGAATCAGGTACATGGTGAGTTGATCACGTAAGAACTGACGAGGAAGTGAATCTACCGAGATAATAGTCCAAATTGATGAAGATTTTGTTTGGTTGATTGATGAAAGATCTGAATGAAGAAAGATATCAGGAGAAAAAAATAGAAACTGGTGACATCAGCAACTGACGATCTATCAGGTTCGGAATGTGATGAAATGGACTATTTTGCCAACAAAAATGTAACATGTTAGATTTCAATTATGATTCTCTATAATGCTTTATAATATATTATATCTGAAATATTGATTTTATAGTAATTCCGGGCTCGTCAACTACAAGGGCATTAGTCCCATGTATGTAGTACATGTTTTTCCTCGGGATGTGGCGTCGGCGTCGTCTTCCCTCGCTGTATGGCGAGATCCGGTACCGACCTATTGCCGCTAGCGGGGTTTCCCCCAATCAGGTGTCTCCCACCAGCGGGACGCAGCCCCAGCTTAAGCTCCCGACCGGCCTTCCAGCATGTGTGGTAGTGTAGTGTAGTGCATGTTAGTGTGTAAGGGGTGTGCGTACGGTCCGTGGCCCGTTTGTTAGGTTTTTGCATCGGCATTTGCCTGGTATTGATTATAATAATAATAATAATAATAATAA